TATTAAATTGGTAGAAAAGGAAATAGAATGAAAAACAATAAATGTAACATCAGCTTTCGTATGGAAAACACACAGAGCGAAATATTTTAAATTATTATTGAAAATTATTTTCATATTTTACATGATATTTCGTAACATTTCTTTTTACACAGTATTATAAAAAGTCGTCGATACAATATGATACCTGACGTTACCGTCGTTTCACCCGACGTCGGAACTGTGGGTGGTGGTGATGGTGGGTGATGGTCGCGTTAGTTTCGCGGCGCGGCGAGCAAACATAATCGAAGCGTATCTGTCGTATCTGTCGATTGTTCGCACGTGTGACGATAAATTCTCGTGTAGTGCATGTTCTCGGAAGTACTTTCCGGGGCACGTTTAACAAGAGTGCGAGCGAATCGTGGCGGCCCGATAACAGGCAAGCACGAGGTACGTTAAGTTCCGAAACAAGTGCGATCGTAAAAGTTGCCAACTTCGGCCCGGTTTCGACGCCGGGGACCGGAGCCGGGTGACGGCGCGGCGGCGAAACCGGCACTAAATATGAATCATAAAAGAAGCATAAAGATAATTGTATGCTAATAGGGCGAACGTATGCGCCGCGTCGTCCGCGGCGCGGCTCAACGTCTCCCGTTATTACCTATGTATCTGCTTTACGGTGAATACCTATGTACTCGCATAGTCGGCGCATAGCGCGCGATACAAACGCGCCGACACACATTCGCCAATTTCGCGTGTAATCAACTTTGCCGCAGCTACCTGACGGCGCGCCCAGGAAATACATATACTGATATATTAGCTATCGCAAGATCGCTTCTCGCCCTTCGTCGCCCGCCGTTCGCTGATGCTCCTCACGTTTAGCGATTATTTAGCAGTCACGTCGCCATTATCTTCTTCAGTTTTATGGTGGAGAGACTTGAACGCCCGGAGAGCGTAAAATTCGCGGGGGAGCGGTAGGTGGACAGGGCGGGGTAGGCGACGGCAGGAAAGGGGAGGGGTGTAATTTTAATGGTTGTATCGTGCCGCGCGAAATGACCTTTTTACTGTCCGCCAGCCGTTCGATCGTTATGCAGACTTAAATACAGCCCGGATCCCCCGTTATCCCTCTCCCCCCCCCCTGCCGTATGTACACAGACGCCGAAATGAAGTTCCCGTTCGAAATTATTTCTCAGTGTTGAGAAGATTCTCTCGCGATTTTATTAAATTTTATTAAATTCGAGGATCTCTCTCTCTCTCTCTCTCTCTCTCTCTCTCTCTGTTTCCCCTTATCTCTTCGCCGGTGCCGGTTCTCGCCAGTGTGCATTTTTCTTTGAGTTTTTGATAGGGAGCAGCCAGCGAGGAACTAATATACACAGGCAATTTTTACGATGTAATATCGCAGACGTTCTGTACGTCGTAATAATGCACCGCCTGTAATACTTTAGAGAAGCACGGCACGATCTCTTTGAAGCTCTCGCAAAACTTTAAATCTTTAAACAGTGTACGCGAACTCATTAAAAGTTCTTTCCCAGAAAGGATAAAACGGGATGTATTGACGAAGTTGGTTTAGAAATACAGCGAGTTTGCGAACATCGGGTGCTAGGCGGAATCGCGCGCGGCCGATTCTCTTTATCTACTGACGCAAGTAAAGCAGGAAGAGAGAGCCTGACGGGCGCGCAGCGCGTCGGGTTATCCGCGCGCGCGCGCGCGCAAAAATTTCCACGGGCGAGCAGACTGCTGCTCGCCCAGACGCAACACTCGCGCCGTCTTTAATGAACCGCAACACCCCCCCGATCGCACGTGAGAGAGAGAGAGGGAGAGAGAGAGAGAGAGAGAGAGAGAGAGAGAGAGAGAGAGAGAGCGATTTCACTGGAGCGCGATGAATCTTTCGCCGATAATGCACTTTCCCCCGGCCGAATTAAATATCAAAACGCGGTTTATTTGCCGATACGAGCGGGAAAGTTTCCCGAGCATCGAGCGGTTAACGGTCGAGCGACGCGCGGAAGTGCGTCCTCGAAACTTTAAGAACGTCCGGCGGAAATAAAGCAGCCGTTCGAACTTTTCAGGAGGGTGCACTCGACCGGGTCCGGCGGTGGCGCGCGGCTATTTCGGCTCGGGCCGGGGCTGAATTTATTATTTGGAACAAAATCGACGCCGCTTCTCGCGGCCCCTCGAGGCTATCGGCGCGCCGAGGAAAATAAGACCGAGACTGCGGCCCGGATAGCTTTTCACGAGATCGTGAATCGGCAACCGAGGAGGATCTCCTTGACCGCTTGCTAGCTCTCAAAGTCGATCGTCCCCGAGAGCTTTTACGGGTTTTGACGAGAGAGCGCCGTCACGATGTGTAAACCATGAGCCCCCCTTCGACGATCTCCCTCCCCGAGCTTCACCCTTTCCCTGGAGGAAGCGCAGCCGAAAGGATGTAAGGAGCGGAGGTGGCAGTGGGATTCGTCTGAAAGGCGAATCCTTTTTACGAGCTTGGATATATACACACCGGAGCTCGACGACGACGACGACGACGACGACGACGACGACCACGACCACGACGAGTCCCGGCTAGGGAGAGATCCTCCGTGCGCCGCGTTGCAGTCTCATTGCAGAATCACGAGTTCGGGGGCAAGCAGCGACGCATACCGATTTTCCGAAAATCTCACGTGGGAGTGACTCGCCGCCCTCCCTCCGGTATCGTCACTTCACACACCCCGTGTACCGCTTCTAATGTAAAGCATTGTAATCTAAATATGGATAAGGGCGGGGACACGCGACGCGAGGCAAATATGCACGCTCCGCACTATCGCCGACGTTACGTAGGAGTCGAAAATTTGGCGAAAATTCCTAGTCGCACGCACGCGCGGGACCGAATCAAATTTACAAACATGGGGAAACGCGGAAAGAGAATAGAGGTCTCTTTCTCCCGATATCGCTCCCGGGAAAGTCTGTGGAACAAAGAGATCCCCCCCCCCTCCCACAGCTTCCAGCGCACAACTACGTTGATAATACAAAGGCAATCTCACGAGCGTAGACTGGAGGCAGGGCGGGCTCATTATACGCGCCGAGTCCACCTAGCGCACATTAATCTCTCGCCGATGGCTCCACGTGGAGAAGCCCGCGACGCGCGCCGGTCAAGGTGGCTCCCACGGCGATACTCACGGAATGATCGCCTAGCGAGAGTGTCCGACACCGTGTCTCCTCTCTCGGCCCTCCGGAATCTTCGATCGCCCTACGACCGCCTCCGGGGGCTGCACTCCGGGGGCAAGGCAGCACACACTCGGCTGTCGCCGAGCACCCCCACGTGCGGGGCACATGACGTATACGCGCGGCAGTTCGATTCATTGGTCATTGGATTATCGGGCTCGGCATTCCAAGCAGTTCCCTGAGCGGGCCAGAATTTCGGTCGAGTCTCATTATCACCTCCCCCTCCCGCTCCCCACCCCCCCCCTCGACCGGCCGCGTCCGTTCGTCTCGGCGCACCGGTTGCGAGCGAACGATGCGCGGAAGCGCCATCGCCGTCGGCGCGCGCTGCTGGAACGAGCGGGATAAATTTAACGCGACGCGACGCGCCGCGCCACACTCGCGCTCGGCGGCGGGATGTAAGAGATAATTGATGATGTTACGGTTCATTGCCGACCTCTGTCCGTTCAACAGACGCAGACAAATATTGACAGCTCCCTATCACAGGCTGGGTAGTATCCTTTGTACGCGCGCCACGCACCCGACGCTCGATGTCCGATGTTCGGTTTTCCTATCGGACCGCCGAGCTCTCTCTCTCTCTCTCTCTCTCTCTCTCCCTCTCTCTCTCTCTCTCTCTCTCTCTCTCTCCCTCTCCCTCTCTCTCTCTCTCTCTCGTTGGTAAATCAACGTCCGTGTGCTCGACGTGCATGTCGACTTGGCTAAATTAAAGCATCCTGGCTCGCCTCCGCCGGCGCCCCGCCGCCCCGCGTAAGTCCAAGCGCGCGCGCGCTTGTGGGTATCGTGAGAGAGCGCGAGTTGCACCGCGTTCCTCCGCGCTTGATTTTTTGATACAAAGGATACACGCGCCCATTGTTCTGCGTTTCTTTTGCAGTCGATAGGAGGCTTTCATGTTTCCGCAGTTGGAATTTGAAAGTGGTCGATGAATATATAACGGATCGCCGGCTGAAAGGGAGGAGAAAGAGGGCCCGTCCGACAAAAGGGGGTGTGGGCTGAGGGGGGGGACGGGAAAGCGAGAATGTATGAGCTCTAATGCGGCAAGGAATCGTCATGGCGGTTGGTTTTTCGGCGCGCTGACAAAGCGACATGGACAGACCGCGGGAGAGGTCGTTCGCGGAACCGATACATCGTTGGGATGCAGGGAAGAGGAGGAGGAGGAGGAGGAGGAGGAGGAGGAGAGCGCCGATGTGTGATAGGACTCATGTCAAAGAGACCGCGCAGTTTTCGGAACGCAAGGTAAGTCGCCTCCCTCCGGCCGCCGTGGTCGCAGCAGGGCTTCGGCTCCTCATCGGGGAGGAATGACAGTCTCACGTGGCTCCGGAGAACACAGCTTCGCGGTGACTCGTGCACCTGCATCGTTCGCCTTAGGCCAGTCAACGGCACGCAGAGAAAAATGGCCGGTCGAAAAGCGAGGCAAAAACCTGAGCCGGTGAAATATCAACGGCTCAGAAATTCTGAATCCCGGTGCCTGCAATCGGGACTTCTGCATCGTTCGTTCGCGATCGAAAAAATTGCTTCGTTCGACCAAACATCCTTCTCCGTGGGGGAATGAGGAGGAATCTGCTGGATCCCTCGTGGTAGGCTCGCAGGACGCGCGTTCTCGTCGTGCACCGATGAGAAAAGTGATGCGATGACCAGCAACATGTCGATAATCAACAGGCAACAGGCGCAGGATATTTGCGCCCATGGAGATCCTGCCGAGTTTTGCGGGGAGGTAGTAAAACGGAGACAGTTCGTGGCTGTGTGAGAAATTGCATATCTAATACTTATCAGATTTCGCAGGATAGAATTCGGCGAGACGAGGCGTGTGACACACACACACATACACATACACACACACACACATACACGTATATTTGTTCATGAGATCTCGTCCGGTAAACCGTGACCGAGCATGTCCACGTGTGAAAATCGGTCGAATACACAAATATACAATTCCACCCGTGCGCCGTACCGACGTCGGCGGCGGCCGGCAACCTGCTCGTCCTGAGTCCGTACGGTCGGCCGACGAAGGTACGTGGAAGGGTTGGGGTACGGTTGCAGTGTCGCGAGACAAGTCGCTGCTACATTCGTTCGCTCGTTCATCCGTCGGACCAGCCGTGCATTGTACCCGTCTCACTTACAAGTTAAACGCGCGTTTTCACGTGTCTATGTATCAGTCGTGTTATCTCGTCCGTACAGTTCGGCAGAGATCCTCGCAGGTCGAGACCCCCGTTGCTGCACCACGTCGCGAAGGCAATCATCCCTCAAAGGATACGTGCGTCCGTTCCTCCACGTAACAAGTTCCGCAAAATTCAATTAGGCGATCTACATGGCCCGCGGCGAATCATCCGCTCGTTTCTGCCGAAGCCCGGGACGTTAATGTTCTTCTGATCCGCGTAATCGTTCGATCTAGAAGTTGCCGCTCCCCACTTCGTGCGTTCGTGTTGTGCTGATAGCGGCAGTTCACAAGTTTCGCGACGGCGGCGTGGCCTTTCAGGCAAACTCCTTCATCTCGGATTCGAGCTTGTTGATCACCCACTCCAAGCCTTGCCGGCCCTCAAACGGAAAAGAAAGGGATTACACGCATGCACCTCGTGCGCCGGCCGTGAAATCGCGCGAATCGTCGCCCCGCGCGCGCGCGCGCGCGCGCGCGCGCCGAGCTGACATTCATGGATTTTTATGAAACGCGCGGGCGCATCGCCGTTTTTTATGAGGCGTTTTATCTTTGACACCGTTCGCCGAATTGAAAATGCGCCAATAGCGCGCTGCTGTGTAAAAAAAAATTTCCTCCGGCGGATCCGGCGCGCGTTCGCTTCTCTCTCCTCTAGATTCGCGCTTCTCCCGCCTGCCGCGTTTTTCACTCGATCGTAAAAGGAAGAAAACGGGGAAACGAGTTCTTGCTTATCGAGAGGAAGATGTTTGAGAACGGCGATTGATAAGTCGCTGCAATGGCGAACGAAGCTACATCGCGTGATGAAAATTTCGTATAAGCCGCGTTGCTATTCTTATCTCTCTTTTTTTCTGCTTCCTCAAGAGCGACGTACGCGAGTGTGCGAGAGGAGATGACTTACTTTGCTCGCGTTGAAAGAGATTTTCGAGGTTAAGAGATCCTCCATGTAGTTGGTCAAAGGCACCCCGCGGACAGTGACAATCGCCTCCTGCGTGAGCAAAGTCTTGCCGGGGTCCTCCGGATGGGGCGTGTATCTCACGGCTTCGTCCACAGCGATGTAGTTGCCGAAGGTCAACTGCAAAAAGCAACAATGGTTGTCGTGCTCAGGCCACGGCTTCGCCGTGGTGCCGTGCAACTTGCAAGATTCCATAAGATTAGCGGGGTCCAAGTTTCGGTCGTTCACACCGAGCGTTGTTGCGCAACTCGTGGGTTAGCAACCCTTAGCTTAGCTTATTACCTGGACTAGATGGGCAGCTCGAATTATCGAGATGAAATATTTCCACGAAAGTGACGTAAACCACTTGAATAATCGATCCCGCGGAACGTGCTCGCAAACGAGTCAACAGCGACTCGCGAGCTGCTCGTAATTATTAACGCCTTCGCCCGAGTTAGAGAAGGCGTTCATAATTAAAAAGACCGAGCCCCGAGCCGATAGAATTGATCCGAATTAATTTCTCAACGAACTTGCCCATTACGCGATACATATTTCAGCGTCGACACGACGGTATAACTAAAATTATCGCCTTTACTTTTTCACGCTCTCTCACGAATATCGCATTGTCTGAAATTTTCTCCCCGTCCCTCTTTCTCGCTCTCACTCTCACGCACGCTTTTTCTCTCCTCCGGAGATCCAAGTTCCCCGAGTCGATATTCGCGCGAGCGCCGCGCCGGCCGCATCGAAAGTGGATCGCGACGATAATACAAGTACAAGTACTGCGAGTCGAGTGACCGCGATGTATCGCGAGCAGCGTCGCAACAATGGTGCGCCAAAACGCGCACGCGCTGCAACTCATGCAATTGTGCAGATTCGACGTGTACGTTGCAATTAATTGAATACGTAGAAGAGCGCGGAGAACAACGGGAGCCCGGGGAGTATCGCGCGCGCGTTGGAAGACCATCTCGAATTCATTACAGTGCGCCAGTGCGTAAACACGCGAGGCGGAAGCAACAAACAGCACTTCGCGGAGCGATGTGCAGCGCGCGGGCGGGCGGGCGCGTGCTCGCGCGCTTTTGTTGCGCCGCGGCATTCCATTGGTAGACGAAACCCGTAGAGTGCAACGTGCGTCGCGCGTTGTCATCGTGCGGATTTGTTTCCTGCCGCGACAGAGAAACAATCGCACCCCGCTCGCTCGCTCGCTCGCTCGCGCGCGCGCGCAGTCCTGCGCGTGCAAGGCGCACAGAGAGAGAGAGAGAGAGAGAGAGAGAGAGAGAGAGGGGTACGAACGCGCGCGAGACGGGTGATAACTGGCACGACAGCTCGGCCGCCTCGAGCCAGTTACCCCGAGGCCTAAAGTTCTAATCTACGTCGTTGTGTCATAGAATTTGTACTGGCTGAAGCAGCATTCGCGCTGCGCGCTGTACAACTGCCGTCTCGCATTGTCGCCGGAAATCTCGGACTGCGCGGATCGAGAATCTCGATTTCTCTCTCTCTCTCTTTCCCTCTCTCTCAGGATTGTCGCGAGTATCTTCGCTCTCCGATCAAACAGGGAGAAAGAGAGAGAGAGAGAGAGAGAGAGAGAGAGAAAAAGAGGAAAGAACTATACTCGTCGCTGGCGTCGCGCTCATTTTTCACCATGCGGCCGACCGGGCGATCTCTCAGACTTTCGTCCTCGTTCCTGCGCTCTCACGAAAGGGTCAATCCTGCACGAACGAGGCGGCGGGATCGGCAATTTCGATCTCCGCGCACGAGTCGCGAGGTATCGTCAGCGGGCATCCAATCCGAAGAAAAATCGCACTCGCGCCGCGGCACCTTCAGATCATTCCTCACGATTAATACGATTAATAATCCTCGAGATTTTCTTCATCCTGACGCGCGCGCGGCCTCGAGCGCGTAGAGCTCGAAGGAAATCGGACGCGGCGCAGATAACTGTGGCGCATAGGGATCCAGGATGAAACGAGGACGATAAATCCACGCGCGAGATAAGGTGGGGTCCTCTGAGAGAGAGAGAGAGAGAGAGAGAGAGGGAGGAAGGGGAGAGAGAGAGAGAGAGAGAGAGAGGGAGGAAGGGGGAGAGAGAGAGAGAGAGAGAGTACCGCGTACTGAAAATCGCTTTTACACGCGGCCTTATCGCGCGTTAACCCAGTCGGGGCCAGCGGAGAAGCGGGTCATTATGAGGTCCGCGCGAGCTATCGCGACGTAGCGCGACACTGCGGGGCGGCGCAATTGAATCGCAGGGGCGCAATACGTTTCACGAGGAAATTAACGCCCGCGGCACATTGTGGCTCCGCGACCATCCGAGATATAGAACCGGCGCGATAGTCCCTCTCTCTGTGCACTTGGCCATATTGGCAATCAGTGAAGCCGACTGTGCGCGCGCGCCGCGCCGCGCCGCGCCGCGCCGCGTCACGTCGCGCCCGACTCGCTTCGCGGCACAGCGAATCTCCAAAGCATCCGGACGCGCGACGCGAGAAGAAGGGAAAGAATTAACATTACGCTGCGAGAGAGAGCAGCTGCCTTTCATGTAGCTCACAGGCCTGGCGAGTCAGGAACAAAGACGCCGATTAAACAGCAAGCGAATGAAACTTCAGCGGCACAAACGCCGCCGCCGCGTGCACGTCCATTACGCTAATTATGGGCCGGCGGTATTGGCGTCACAGGTCGATGGGCAATATGCGATTCTTCCTACGCCGCACTCAACACCTCGCTCGGGAGCTCGTGATTCGGGAGCTGTGTAACCCGCTGATGCGTATCGCACGTGTTTATTAACGGTCGGGCGGCAAGCGCGGAATTTAAAAGATCGCAGCATTGCGAGCGCGCGGTAACGCGCTGCAAATTGCGACGCTCCCACCGAGTTGCAACTCCGCGCGCTGCTGCAACATTATTTGGGACACGGAAATGTGAAAATTTTGCGAGAATGCGGTAATGAGCAAAAATTAGAAGCGGCGGTATTGAGTTTCGCTTAATGCGTCTCGCGAAAGTATTCGGACCTATCCCGAGCACACACAGCTCGTGGAACGCAAAGAAAGGAGGAGCGGCAGGGAGAAGGGGAGGGGCAGAGGGAGGGGGTGGGGAAGAGGAGGTTGGTAGCAATTGAAGAGCTGTTGCGAAAGTGCACGACTGGTTGTCTAAATAAGATACTGTTGTTACAGCTCCCATTGCTTCGCGCAGTAACGGCAAGCTCGCTCCGTTGCCAAGCGCTAGTATTATCGTTGCGTTATTGTATACCGTACTTAATTTTCCGTCGTGCAAGGAGCATTGCGCTCGCGCGAGAACCGGTCGCGCCTGTTATTTCACTAATAACTAATAACATCGATTTAAATATGTATATTTCGTCAGACCCGCAATTTAATCATTTCGCGCAACTACCGCTCGGAACTATCGCCCTCGCGGGGGAGGGGGCGGGGTGGGGGAGACGTAGTTAATCGTCGTTTTATTCCATGCGCAAAAACAGTATCCCATCTCCGCCTGTTATTCCGACTGCTCGAGTGAGCATAGCAGACAGAGTGGAAAAGGTACTCCCTCTCACTCTTTTTTCTTGTCGAGGAATATCTGATAATATCTAATAGCTTAACGCTGCGCGCACAAAGCTCTCCGCGCATAAAAGGTGGATGAGCGTTTCGACGGCGCGCGCGAGGGGAAAGGCAAGTGGAAACAGGTGTAATTGGCAAGACGAGAGGAGATTCACTGTCGCGGCGTCTGTGACGAGCCGTAATCGCACTCCTCTTGAAACGAATTTTTTAACCGCGGCGCGCGAAACGCTTTGCTTAATACCAGACAGAATTACGACAATCCGGTGTTATATCAAAGAGCAGTCGCTTCTCTTTCGGCTTTTGTTCCCGGCGCCTCTTTCATATGAGCAGTAACCAACCGCGCGAAACAGAAATCGCGTTACCTTTTGATTTTCAAAACGCTCCCCGTGTGCGTATGTGCGCGCGCGCGCGCACGCGTGTGTATGAATGTGTGTGAATGATGTATGTAAATAGTTTTTGCGCGGAATGAAAATGTTAAACCTTTAAACGCGCATTTGCATGCTACACAGGTGCGAGATATTTCGCGAAAATAAACGGACAATAAAGTAACGGGTGATTGAAAAACGCTGCGAATGCGCGTTTCGTTAATTTCGTTCCCTCGGCCGTTTTTTTATTTTCCTCTTTTTTCCCCCCCTGTAACGAAGTTTATCGCTTTCCGCGGAAAAAAAAGAAGAGGAGAAAAGAAAAAAAAGAACGCGTGCACATCGGATTTACGCTAATAGCGAGCATGAGGCGGCTCTACGTGCGCGTAACTCAGCAAACATCATATCTAATCCCCACCGAGTCTCCGCGGAAACAGGCACGAAATGTGTGTGTTTCTCGGGCGTCGAGATAAATTCTTTCCCCGCGGAGAATATCCGGATGGGTTTGTTCTCGCGCGGGGCGTTCTTCGAACAACGGCATAATCTCTCGCTCTCTTTCTCCCTCTTGGTCTTACTCCGTCCCGTCTCGCCGGGTCTCATCAACGCCTTGGCGCGAGAGCTCGCGCGTAAGCGCCGTAAAAGAGTACAAAATTACAGCGTCACGGAAGAAACGAGATACGGGGCCAACGGGCGACATTAATCGTAACAGGCGGCGACGAGGGGAGCGATCGATCGTCGTCGTCGTCGTCGTCCGTCCCGTCGTCAGCTGCGAATCTGTCGTTGACGCCGCCGCGAGTAATTAATTTCGGCTTCTTTTTTTCGGCGCCGCCGCGGAAGGCCGCGCAGGAACGCGGAGCGGAACGGTGGAGCTGCGACGTGGAGCCGCGGGTGCATCGGTTAATTGAAAATTTTTCTCGTCGGTCGCGCCTCTCGAGGACGATGTTTGCCAATTGCGCGACCTCTTCTCTGTGCCAAAACTTCCCGTTTGCTTTCCATTTACTGACGGGCGGCGACGCGACACACACCCGATGACGCATCAGTGACGCAGTAGGAGATATATATCTCGGTCTCCTACATCTGGCTAGTTCTCTCCCTCCCTCCTCCTTCCGGCCGGCAGTATTCGATCGATGTTTGATAACGCTTATCGGCGGAACGCTTATCGGCGAGCTTCGTATTCGAGATAGCACCGCAGCGCACGAGGCTGAATCACGGCGGCGCGAATAAACGCACGATTGTGAGATAA